CTTTTTTGTGCAAATTACCCGCAAAGTCAAGTTTTATACTCTGAATTTCATTTATGTCCACCTGCATAATATTTTTCATATTTATATTTTCGCTTTTCACTTTAGTTTTATAATTTCAAAATGCGTCTAAACATCTGTACTTCGATCCTTCCATATTCTCCATCAATTTCCTCAATCGCACCCCTCACAGACGCTCTCTCAGTCAATCTCAATATGTCTTCTCTCATCCGTAATTCACTCCTAGATCGTCGATTGCAGGCAGTCTCCCTCGTTATTCACTCCTAGACTGTTCGTCCATCATCACGATCTCCCAGCGAATCGAACTGAAACGTTAAGTAGATAAGTCAGGGATCTTAGATTCATATTTGCGGAACGGAAGGTTGTTCCCTTCCCGCCTAGTGCCTGCCGTGTTCTCCGACCATGATTACTCCGCTGCTCCGCCCACTGTCCCTGCTTGCCCGGCTGCTCTGGTCTGTATTCAATCACTTTATCTTCAATATGACTTGGATTTATTGCTTTGTTCACAGGTTTTTGGATATAGATCTCATATTAGTATTTCTGGTAATGTTCATCTGTGATGATCTCAGATTCATATTTGTGGTACTGTGTATGTACGATGATCTCATATTCATAATTTCTTCAGAGTAGTATTTAATATTAAATTAAACTCAATTATCGTATTTTTCTTCTTAGATTCATCTCTATCTGATATTTCCAAATGTAGCAATGACTCTTTTGATTGATCAGAATTTCTTTGAATTTCTCTTTTGAACTTTTGGTCTTATTCAAATTTCTTCTCATTTTGTAATAACTTTTTTTTATAAATCATATTTATTCATGTTGTTTGTTATTGAACAAGTTCTATTGATCCCTTTGAAAATTCAATATTGAAATATGTTTGACATAGAAGAGATGACATCGAAGTGTTGAAAAATGAGGTGCTTATATGTTTATTCCCCACTTTCAAGACATGTTCTCATGTTCTCCATTTGGTGGAATCCCCTGGGAACTGCATAAGAAGGTGAGGCTATTCCATCAGTCCACAGAAATATTTTTTCTTCATGATAGAGCAATAGTGAATAGGGATTTGGTTGAATTCTTCAATTGGAAACGACCCAGGCTTCCCCTTGAAACAATCTGTTGGCCTTTGCTGCATAATGCTACCAATCCCTTTGTTATTGGAAAAGGTTTCTATAGTTGCAATACTAATAGCATGGAATTGGATCCCAAAGAGCTCTTCTTGTATTTATCCTTCCCGTCCTCAACTAAAGAGGCTAAGTGATCCATATTTGTCATTCCTGTAATTTTTTTGGCTTAATCACTGCCCCGTATGTTACTATACATGTTAGCATCTTAATAGAATGTTTTCATAGTGGCCTACCATTTTTTCTTGGTAATGTGAATCATATATAAGATGCTCCATAATCACATCCATAGAGATTGCAAAAAATAATTTTATCAAGAAATTTGGTTCACCCATCCTTATGTTTTGTGGTCAATTTTGCAGTGAATATGATGCTAAACTTTATCTTTAGGTTCTCTCTATTTGAATGATCTTTAGGTATTGACATCCTTTCATTTATGGATGAATTGATGTACTCATTATCCTTAAGTTTTCTCTCTTGATCTCTAGTATTTTGGCAAAAAAAATTACATTTCATGCCCCTAAGAACATAGAGAGCACTCTAGCCTCAATCTTTGAAAAGGTTAAACATGATATTCTCCAATTCCACGGGATCCCTTCAAGATATTATTTGCTTGTAATATATGATTTCATATTTGTGTTATATTGATTTCATTCTTATTCCAGGCACAAATGTGAAGTTCATGGAGATGATAAATAGATAAAGATCAACTAGGAATGAAGGCAGGAGAGACAAACTTGTTGGATTCCGTGTTAAAATGCATCTAATGAAGAAGAAAATGATCAAAAAAAGCGAAATAGCATCATAGATAAATGTAATAAATTAAATAATCGATTGAATTATATATTAGACGTGATACTTTATATATTGTTTTTTGTTTCTTTTTGTTGTATAAAATTTGTTGCATTGTGTTTCTTTTTGTTGTATCATGTTGCTTTTTGTTGCAATGTATTGTTTATTGTTTTTTATTGTTGATTTTAATTTTTGTTATTTAATATTTAGGTCTCTCTTCATTTTTGCTACTTATTGGAAATAAAATGCCTAAAATAATAAATTTGAATTTATGAATATAAAAACGACGACAACTGGAAACATAAAACAAAATATATAGAATTATCATTAAAAAGAAACAAAATAAACAATAAAAATCATGTTGCATTTTTTCTATAGTTGCTATGTGTAGTAGATTTGTATAAAAACACCTAAAATAATAAATTTGAATTTATGAATATAAAAACGACAACTAAAAATATAAAGAAACAATAAAAAACAAAATCTACAGAATTATCAACAAAAAGAAACAAAAATGAACCATAAAATCACATTTTGTTTTATTTATATTTTAATTTTTATAATTTTCAATATTTTAAATTTGTTAAATAAAAAATTACATTTTTCTATTTTGAGAAATGTTTCGATTTCTTACATTTTAATATTTATATTTTTATATTCTTTTCTTTTTGTATTGTTGTAATTTCATAAAAATTTAGATTTATTTTTTTTTTAAACATTTTTTATAAGTATGGGGTATAGGAATAAGGAACTCTTTTAAAAAAGTTATACTCCGTATTACAGTTTAAAGTTAAACTACTTTAAACTGTGTTTCATTTTTATTTCTGAGTTCTGTATTTATAAGGTTTCAATAATTACTTTTACATTTCTCTAACTAATTTTTGAAAATTTAAATATCTTTTCAATTATTTATACTTGGTTAGAACTTAAAAGTTTTAGATTTTGTATTTACTATTATGTTTTTTTGTTTTTTCTTAGTTTAATTATTTTTAATATATATATATATATATATATATATATATCGTTTCTTATTGTTTTTATTTTATTTTAATAATTTTACATTTTCTTACATTTTTAGATTGTTTTATTTATAAACATAAACTAAGTAAATTTTTTAGCGCAACTTTTATTAATTAGTTCATCAAAGAGGATGTGCGTAGCACGGTAGCACCAGAGCGGGATCCTCATGCACACTTCTTTAAAATGTACTCCGTAACTCCACTACTCCAGTGAGTGGGTCGGTCATTCGGTCTATTTATGAAAGACAAATGTTACGAGTCTTTTCTTGAAAGAAGTTTTAAAAAGTAAAAAAAAATGATATTACTTTCGCTTTTAAGTCTGCTTGTGAAGTTTTCCCTTCCTTTTTTTGGAACCAAAATAGGAGTGAAACTGTTTGTACTTATAATACCATATTTTTAAATATGACACTATTTTTTAACCTGACACTTTTTGACAAAAGATAACTTCATTAATATTAAAACCATGAACCAGATACAAATTCGTCATATCAAAGGCTACTCTAGGATGAGATTCAAAGCTAGAGTCACGCTTAATAGCGATCCAACTCACTAACCCCGCAATGTGGTAGAATCCATTAACGGGCAATGTTGCACCCGCTACTAGAAGGAAAAACAAAAAAACAAAAGAGTACTTAGACATCAAGGGAAAATAAGAAGAATAGTATCCAGTTTTTCCAACAACTGATAATGAAACAGTGGTTTGACCAGCTCCCGCCAAAGGTTCCTCCTGTGTGTCACCAAAATCACTGATTACTGGCGGTGCTTTTCAGACACCACCGTCACTTGCATGTTTTTTGGATTTGCCTCATCCACATCCATACTTGCTTGAACACCCTCCTCGCTCATCAGCTCAATGACCCTGCATTTCTTTGATTCTTCCTGGGTAGTAGCCATCAAACCTGACATTAATTACTCATATTTAAGGAATAAAAACACGACAATCATATTTTGAAATTTTAAAACTTCTTTACTCATATTTCGGGAATTTAACCTTTTTTTTTATAATATGATTAGGTTGGTTGGCAAAACAAATCTCCAATCATGTAGGTTTGGATAACTCAATTGATCATCATTTTACTATTTAAAGTTACATATTTTTTTCATAGTAATTTGATTCCTATTATTCTCCCCTCCCCTTTCTTCTCACTTATCTCTCCCTCTCTCTCCCTTCTCTCTTTGATCTTTACCCAATCCCTAAAAAATTCTCTCAAGAAAATATGGGATGATCATCTTTCTCTTCTTCATCTTCCTCTTCCCTTCTTCATTCTCTTTTTTCTACCTTTTTATATAAAAAATTTTCCATTATTTGCAAATAATCAGTTTATTTATCTTTTTTTGCAAATATCAATTTATTTATCTTATTTCATGTATTTTTATTATTTTTCTATTTTTTTTCAAACTACATATAAATTGATCACACATACAACTACATCATTCACTTGGATGTATATAGACAATTAAATTTTTCATTCATCGAGACAATTAAAATTGTTCTCATCGACAACTAAAGTTGATCACACAGACAACTATTGTCTGTGAGTCGCATGACTATTGTCTGTATGGTAAATATTGTCAGTGCACATAGACAAATAATTGTATGTGCAACAGGGAAATATTGTTTGTGCACACATGCACGTCAATGTACTTTTTTACACGAAAATTAATGTATGTGGACACAAACAATTCTTATATGTGCTGAGAGGTAACTTCATATCAATTTTTTATTTGTTTATTAGAAGTATTCAAAATATTACTCCCTCCGTCCCACTAACAATGCGACAAGAAGGAGTGACACACAAATATATAAAAAGTGATTTATGTGCTTGTTATTGAATTGATAAAATAAGAATAAAGTAAGAACGATTTATAGCCACACAAACATTACCAAAAAGGTATGAGACAATCTTAATGGCATGAACCAAAATGGTAAAATGAGAAATTCTTAATTCAACGAAATGTTTGAGTGAAAGTGCAAAAATAATTTTTTGGAAGCCGAAAGAGACTAGTTTCTCAAAAACTCATTTTGTCACTCCAACCAAACACGCATTCTGGTAGTGTCACTCTCCTTTTTCTTTGTACGGAACTCTACACCGGAGAGCTCCGTCTCCACAGTAGTTAGCCGCCGTTCACTGTTAATGCTGCTCCGCACAACGTAAAGCTCACATTTTTGCGCGACATGGCCGTCGTTCCCAACTCTCTAAGGCTGAAGAAGCTCTTCAACCTTGATAATCCCAATGATATCAGAAGACCACCCCAGCAACCCTTATCACTTTTCCTGTCGACTCTCAGCGATCTATTTTCCAATCCTTCTGCCTCCTCCGTCGCAACCCCTTCCGTCGATTCAAAAGGCGGTGATGCTGCAAAACCCAAATTAAGCTCACGCAAGCAAGCTCGAGCAATGGCTGAGCTGATCAAGTTCCAGCAGTGGACTAATCAAACGGAGTCTTCTCTCACCGCTATCTCCGGTCCTTCTCTCTCCGCGGATACTATTGCTCAGACCATCAGCCTCATCAAAGGATCTCGGAAAGCCCTTCAGTTCTTCGCCTGGGCCGAAAAAAACGGAGTTGCCAATACACCCCGATGCTATTTCGTCATGCTGGAACTACTCGGGAAAGAGAGGGACCTCAATGCCGCCCGGAACTTCCTGTTTTCCATCCCCAAGAGATCTAACGGTGCTGTAGAACTCGAAGCCAGGTTCTTTAACAGTCTGATTAAAAACTATGCTTTAGCTGGGCTCTTTGAAAAGTCCGTTGCCCTTTTCGAAACAATGAAATTAACCGGAATTTCCCCATCTGTAGTCACATTCAACACTCTCTTCTCAATTTTGATGAAAAGGGGTCGAACAGGTATGGTCCACCAACTGTATGATGAAATGCACAAGACATTTGGCGTCAACCCTGATTTGCACACATTTAATATTTTGATTAAAGGGTGTTGCATGAATTCAATGGTGAATGAAGGTTTCAGGTTCTTCAAGGAAATGGAGAAACACAACTGTGAGCCCGATGTGATCACGTACAACACCCTTGTTGATGGTCTGTGTAGGGCCGGGAAGGTGAAAATAGCTCAAAATGTGGTAAAAGGCATGGTAAAGAAGGGATCAAATCTGACCCCTAATGTTGTCACTTACACCACTTTGCTTAAAGGATATTGCATGACCAATTCAATTAAAGACGCTTTGGATATTTTCAAAGAGATGGTTGATTTAGGGATAGAACCAAATAATATCACCTATAACATTCTCATACAAGGCCTTATAGAAGCTCAGGAGTATGATAAAGTTAAGGAGCTATTCAGGGTAGCTAAAAAAGAGAACAAAGGGTTCGTTCCCGACACATGTACATTCAACACATTGATCAACAAGCATTGTGAGGAAGGTAATCTAAAGGCGGCATTAGAATCTTATGATAAGATGTCTCTCCTAAAAGTCCATCCTGACTCGGCCACTTTCAGTATCTTGATAAGATGTTTGTGCCTGAAGGGAGATTTTGAGACAGCAGAGAAATTCTTTGATGATTTATTTGAGTCAGAAATTGTTTTATCGAATGCCGGATGTACACCTGTTGTTGCGGCGTTCAATTCCATGTTCAGATATTTGTGCAATAACGGGAAGACGAAGAAGGCCGATAAAGTCTTTAGACAGTTAATGAGAAGAGGAATTCAAGATCCTTCTACTTTCAAGACTCTCATCATGGGACATTGCAGTGAGGGAGCATTTAAGGATGGGCACGAACTTTTGGTTTGGATGTTACGAAGAAATTTCCTTCCAGACCACGAAACATATGAATCTCTGATTGACGGCCTGTTACGCGTGGGAAAACCAAAACTCGCCTATGATACTCTTGAAAAGATGTTGAAAAGCTCACATCTTCCCACAACTTCAGTGTTCCATAACATTCTCATGGGGCTTGCCAAACAGGATTGTGCTCTTGAGTCTGCTGATTTAGTGGTGCTAATGTTGCTTAAAAAAATCAGACCAAACATCACTCTTTCGACCGAAACCATAAAGATACTTTTCAAATCCGGTTTGCGAGAACGGGCATTTGAGATTCTTCAGGGTCTACATGAAAATGGCTATTTGGTAAATATTGAAGGGTTAATTTTGTTTCTTTCCCAGAGGAAGGAGTTTTCTGGAGCACATGAATTGTTACTTTTTAGCCTAAAGAATGGTCTTAGTGTTGGGATAGATGTGTGCAGCAATGTGTTGATTGCACTTTGTAAAGAAGACGGTAGAGCTCTAGAAGCCTTTGAGCTTTACTATGAGTTAGTGGAAAGGAAAATTGAAGTGCCTTTGGAGTGCTTAGAAGATTTAAAACATAGACTAGAGGTGGAGGGAAGGTCTAAAGAAGCTGAATTTGTTGCCAATAGGATGATGCCAAAAGGCAGGGCCTAATTTGTTGCAGAAAGAAACTCAAGCCCCATTTGTCTACACTAACTTCTTGGAGACTTTTGAATGGAGACTATAGGTAGAAGGTCATCCCTCTTGTTGATTATTCCCTTATTCTCAATAACTGTTCTTGAAGGAAATTTTGACACTTAAGGTGACAATAAATATTCTCATAAATTGACACATAGAATTCTTGATTTGTAGGTGTTACTCAACAAAAGTGAAATATATGTGGGAGAGTAACTTAGAGCTCATTTGGCAAGGCATGAAATTGCTGAAGTGATAGAATGCGCAAAATTTACTGGAGATGTGGGAGAAGTAGTTGAGTATGCAGAGTTGTGTAAAAAAGTATTTATAAATTTTAACATATACTTTGTATACCTAAATTAAATCTGAAGGTAAAAATGCCGTGTTCTTTAATTCCACTTTCCATTTCCAGTCATTTCAAGTAAAAGGATGTAACTCATGCATGATTTTTTTTATCAATTGACCCCTAATTCAGCCAGAGCACTGAAATGCATTATATTTTGTAAAAAATGTTTTATTTATTTTTTAAAAAATTGTAAGACAAAAAATGTTTACTGACGCCCTCTTAGTCATGGTCATTTCACTATGTTTGGTTTATAGGTTTGTTAGTGATATGATGCGGGAAGAGCATGGGGCGGGACGGGCTTGAGCCCACCTTCGTGGGCTGGCTGCGAGCAATTTAATTAATTTTAATTATTCCTTTTATTTTGTTTCCTAATTTATTTTGTTTCCTAGTATGGTTTAATTAGGACTTCTATTAATTAGAGGTTTCCTATTTCTATTTAGTTTCCTTGAATGGTTTAATTATGACTCCTATTATGTTTCTTACTAGGATTTAGTTTCCTATTCAGTTTTGGATGTAAGGGTTATATAAACCCCTGCCTAGGCTTATTCAAATCAGGCATTAATAATATTGGTTTTAGCTATTTAGCTCTGGGCAACGGATCCAGCCGTTGATTATTTTGGGCAATGGGTTACTCCGTTGATTTTATTTTTCTGTTCTTATCAATTGGTCTGACCTGCCGGATCCCGTCCCGCCGAGATGACGAGATCTCAGAATGATCGATCGACAGAGCTGGAGAACGAACAAACTCGTATGAGAGAAGAAGTGACCCGGATAAGGGCCGAACAGGCAGAGCATGGTGGCAAGCTGTCGGAGATCATCGCCTCACTAGCGGCGTTGACCCAGGCGATGGTCCCGCCGGTCACACCGAAGAAAGCCGCGGATGACGTGGGTCGAATCCCGGCAACCGAGCTGCATGGAGAAGGCGTGCTGAGCAATCCAACTATAACGCTGCTTCCGTCGTTCGATGGGGGAGACCCAATTGGGTGGATCGCTCGGGTAGAGCAACAGTTCGAATTACACAACACTTTAACGGAAAAGAAGGTGGCTGCCGTGATGGTAGCTATGGAAGGAGGAGCGCTTTACTGGGTGACCTGGCTGAGATCGCGCAGGCCCGGGATGACTTGGGCAGATTTCAAGCAAGCCTTGGTGGACAGATTTGATTCTCGATTTCAAGGTAATAAGTATGAACGACTGTCTGGAGTCAGGCAAATTGGGTCTATAGAAGATTACAACATCTTGTTTGTTCAGCTAGCAAGCCAAGTTCTAGGGTTACCCGATGAGCACTATTTGGGATATTACATGAGCGGTCTTAAGGAGATAATCCGAAGCTCGCTGCGATTGCTCCGACCAAACAACCTGGAGATGGCTATGGAATTAGCTCGCGAAGTGGAGTATAATCTGTCCGTCCAAAGTGGAGAAAGTGGAAGTCTGAATTATCATTCATCAGGGGTACGTTCTATCAGCCTTTTAAGGGCAAACACAGGTTCCCCGTTGACTGCCATTGGTGGCAGCTTACAGGGTTCGGAGGGCAGCTTTGCGAAAGATAGTGGACAGCCTCCGGGGACGAAGTCAGGGTTGTCTGGGCAGCCTACGACACGCTCTCAGTTCACTCGACTTCCGCCGAAAGAGTTTGCAGAACTGCGGGCGAAAGGATTATGCTTTAGGTGCAAGAAACCATTTACACCAACACATGACTGTCCCTTTAAGCAGCTGCGGGTAATGATAGCTGAGGAGGATGAAGAGTTGGACCTCAAGCAGCATGAATTCTGTGAAATAATCGGCCAGGAAAAGGTCCCGGAAAGAGAAGAAGGATATTTTCCAGTCTATACTATGTCTGGATATTTCAGTTCCCGATCCGCGAGTTTTCAACCTTGAGGACAAGGTTAATTTGAAGGAGGATGGATTGATATGATGCGGGAAGAGCATGGGGCGGGACGGGCTTGAGCCCACCTTCGTGGGCTGGCTGCGAGCAATTTAATTAATTTTAATTATTCCTTTTATTTTGTTTCCTAATTTATTTTGTTTCCTAGTATGATTTAATTAGGACTTCTATTAATTAGAGGTTTCCTATTTCTATTTAGTTTCCTTGAATGGTTTAATTAGGACTCCTATTATGTTTCTTACTAAGATTTAGTTTCCTATTCAGTTTTGGATGTAAGGGTTATATAAACCCCTGCCTAGGCTTATTCAAATCAGGCATTAATAATATTGGTTTTAGCTATTTAGCTCTGGGCAACGGATCCAGCCGTTGATTATTTTGGGCAACGGGTTACCCCGTTGATTTTATTTTTCTGTTCTTATCAGTTAGGTAGACATTTGTTTTGAGAACAAAATGTCTTTGGTTAGGGGCAATGTATTTACGAATAAGAGGGGAGTATCATAGAATGTTTTAATAGGTGCTGGAGGTATTTGTTGAATCTAATATTCAGTGTTTCTAACAAAATGCAGGATCTGTTTGTTTTCTTTTGGAGATTTGCAATTTTGCATTTCTTCTTACTCTTTGCAGTTTCACTATGATTTTAAATGAGCATAGTACACCTAATACTCATATATAGATCAGCAAAGATCTGAAGCATCGTGACGATTGTGTTTCTACTAATTAAATCTCTGTTATATGGCCTGGCTCCACCCCACTTTAATACAATAGGTTGCATTGTACTTTTCATGGTCAAATTTTGCTCTTCAACCAATACTTTTGATCAACATTTTTTCTTAAAATTATGTTTGTGTGCTTTATGAGAGTACTCTTAACAAAGAAAACATTTCCTGTATTACTTTCACATTGTAAATCATTTTGAACAAAAATATATTATTGGCCAACGTAAGAAGTCTTTGAGCATAAAAAAACTAATAACATATGGCCTTTAAAAGTGTGAGGAGGAAGTACATTGGTCTAAGGATCATGTGATGAGAATTCGTTTTGCTTTTCTTAACATTCACTAATAATGGTTAAATAGATGCATGTACAAAATCCCAAATTTCTGCAACACTTTTGCTTGAATTCAAAGCTGTTAAAATTGCAGATATACATTGTCTTGTTAAATCCAGAAACATCTAGTGTGTGGCATCATCTTATCGGCAATGCCTTCAGAGAGAGAATATTATCAAAATCTGAAGACATGTAAGATCGAGGCAGCCCGAAAATCTCCCAGAAATGGAGAGCTTGATCTGCTCCAGCTGATACCACTGTTTATCCATCCAGGCTATTCAGCGGAAAGAATTGAATTAAAAAACAGGTAAGAATGTTTACAATAATCATCACACATTTTTTGTTTGTTTGCATGTTACCTCCTTTGAGGTTCTGCCATATTCCCAAAAGATACTTGATGTTTTGAAATATTAGTGATATATGATTTATCCTTTTTCTTTTCAGACATGGAAGGATACCTCCATAAACATAAGCTTCCCGTTTCTTCCAGTATCTCTGTGTAGCCGTTGCTGCTTAATTGCTCCTTGCGATGTTTGTTCCATTCAAGCCCACAGATCTGCATGTGCCACAATGTTATAACTAGTTAGTTCTCCATTCTTAAAAGTACTTTAAAAAGCGCTGCCCCGCCTTGTGGTTACAATCTAGGTAGTTAACTCGCTACTCGTTAGTAACTCGGTCAAATGGCCAAGTAGCGAGTAGGACAAGTTACTCGGGATTACTCGGTGATTACTCGACCTTGTTGTATTAATTAAATTTAATAACATAGGTGCCCGAGATTATAGAAATATAATAATCTTAGAATTGTCTTAAAATGCATACAAATGAATAAAATGATATAAATGCTAATGATGGGGTAGCAAAAGTCATAACATTCTAATTGACCAAGTCTTCAAGAAAATCAATCATCTAATAATTTGGTAGGATCTCTGTTCTCTCCCCATGCCCATCCTATATCATCCGATTTACTCTTAAGTGTAGTATTAGCATATTCAGCACCATTAGAAGCCTAAGTAAATTGAGCAGAGTTCATGACTGCCAATTAGATGATGTGTGTCAGTCGATTAATGATGTGCCATAGTAAACAATCAATATAGTGATATTAATTAAAAATTACGTAGTATAATATATAGTCATATTGGTGAAAAGAATTTATTTATATCAACATATATGTGTGTTGTGTGCATCAATGTTTAACAATCAAGATGGTGATATTTTAAGAATGCAGTAAAGAACAGCTGGAGAAGGACGGGTGGGTGGAAGAAGAAGAAATGAGAGATGGGAGAAGGGGAGATACGAGAAAGAAGATGAGAACTTATTGATATATCGTAGTCACAGCTCTATAAGGATAATTGTTGTCCGGAACTCCGTTTTGCCTAGGTTTTGTAACGTAGTTTTTCAATTTTATAAGGGACCGAGTTAGACTTCACCGAGTTGAGAAACTCGCCGAGTACTCGGCGAGTAACTCAGGAGTAAAACACGGACCGAGTCAGGTAGCTACTCGGCAAGGCCAATACCCGAGTTGCGAGTACTCGCCGAGTACTCATCGAGTAGATAACAAAGGTTACAATCCTAAAGGACCTTTTCTCTCATTTGTACATCGACACTTGAAAATATAAGGTGAAAACTAACTTGCCTGTGCACTGGTTTGGGTGGTGCTAAGGCACACTCCTCTTGCAAGACTCCAAATCTTGATGCACCCATCGTTCATCCCTCCCCCAGAAGCCAACTGGTCATAGTTATAAGGACACCCTGCCAGTGCCTTCACCATATAGGTCCCTCCAGAGCTCATCTTTAAAGCATCCCATATGTAAACAATATTGTCATTCCCACCGATAGTTCCCCTCCTCTCACTACTTCAGTCCACATACCTCCTATTACGGATGCTTTTTATGGGATTCCATACCGTAGAAGGAAACATATGGGCCAGAGAGACATACAATTAAATGAGTAGTCTAGCTTGATGTTATATTTTATTATTTATTGTTTCCTAAGAATCTAAGATTTATTGTTTTAATTAGATTAGGGCTTGATCCTGTAAGAGACATGATGCCTATTTAATATTGTTTCCTAAGATATTTAGAATTTCCAGTTAGAGTTTTAATTACATTAGGACTTGATTTTGTAAAAGGCAGGATGCCTATTTTTAATCGTTTCAGCAATAATAAAGATCATTCAAATTATTCCCAGAGAGAAGTCACGGACTTTCCCCCTCCCCTGCGCTCTTCCAGCCACAGGCAAGAAGAGGAATAACCCTAGCAGGAAGGTTACGACCTCAACCGGGTACCCTGCTACCCCAAGTCGGCCCTGGACCCGTTCTCAATCGCAGAACCCTAACACTTCCTTACTTTGTGCTCTCATCACGTATACACTATACAACACCCTTTTTCTCTCACTGCACCCCAAAAATTTAATATTAAAAATGAGGGGTGAAAATGGAACTTGCTTATTCTTTTTTTTTTTTTAATCTACAAGACCGTCATGATGAACAATAGGTGTATCAGAGCTTCCTGATGTTTGAATATCAGCCTTCCAATCTATTGTTCCCACCCTCCCCACATGACCAGGCAGGCATCTTACCTGTTGAGTAGCCATTGTAATGTTTATGTGGTAGTATTAGATAAGATAATTACCAAAACATGTGGCAATGCGACACCAATCCTAATGCTGGAACAACGGGTAAAATGTAATTTTGGAAGAATCATTGCATTGTGTTTCTGAAAAATAGTCAAGTTTCATGTAGAAATTTAAAATTTTGGTTAGGTAAAGTTTGTTTAAGAGTCCATTGTATAATATTTTGCTTTTTTTGATTTGTTGAACTAAACGTAGCATCCTTAGTCCCATTTGATAGCCACTGTTTTTCTTTGGCTTATCTGACGTATCAATTGGATTGTTGACAATGCAAGGAAGGCAAATATAGTCAACTATAATTGCCCTAAAGTGACTTACAATAATGAAAACAACCATTCTTGGTGTACACGTTTTTATACCCATCAGTACACGCATGTGTCTGTGAGAGTTTTTTTTGTCTGTGAAGCGCGGTCCACAAACATAAGTTGGCTTGTTTTGTCTTTGGAAAATTTCACAGACAAAACAAACCAGCTTTTGTCTGTGGACCGCGCTTCACAGACAAAAAAAACTCTCACAGACACATGCGTGTACTGATGGGTACAAAAACGTGTACAAAAGGAATTTTTCTAATGAAAAAGGGGGAAAGGTACATATATACCCCTATAGTATAGGTGCAGGAACAAATATACCCTTGTTCTATTTTTCGGAACAAATATACCCCTGAACTTTGAAAAAAGTGCAAAAACTATCCCTCATGTTCTTATAAAGGAGAAAATTAATCCTTATTGACTTAAAATTAATAAAATAAATTTCAAAAAACACCAAAAAATTAAAAATTCGAAATTAAAATATAAAAAAAATTAAGTAGGTAAGTGCTTGGTTGTAATTTTTGATAGAAGTTACCAGATATGATCATTGTAATTTTCTTCTTCAATCAAACTTTATTTAAAACCAAAAGAAAAAAAGTTCTCTTGATGCTGTGAATTTAGATTCAGCCTATTCATTCTGGTTACTTCTCAACTAAATCAGTTTAAATAAAAAGCTTTCTACAGAGGGAAACTTTGATTGCTTAAATATATGCGGAGCATCTCTTAGCTAAATTTTTTCCATTGGGAAAAGATAGGAGCAAAGCACAATCTATTTGAGCAATTTCAGAAGATGAGTTCATCTGTACCAGACACAATTTGGGCAACTTTTACTTGTTTTCAGGAGCAAAAGTAGTGCAAAACACAATTTATTTGAGTATTCAGAAGATAAATTCATCAGAACTTGAGCATTTTGACTTCTTTGCAACATCTTTTCTGGAAAAAGATACATTACATTCAATGAAAATTAGTTTCTATTGTTGAAATAGTCTTTGTTTGGAACAGATTGAAACATGGAACACTTGTGTGAAGGAGTATGACACTGAGAGATGGGGGGTTTACAAGCTTGGATGACTCAACATCCCGAAGCTGAATCTCAGAGCTTGAATGTCCTACGCCTAATGATTTTCCGTCGTTAGACCATGCAACACTGCTTGCATAATGATCGCTATGATTATCATTCAAATCCCCCAAATGCTGAACTTTACGATTAACAGCGTTCAACATGAAGACTAATGAGTGCAATGCAATGGCTACAATGTTGGTTCTTCCCCAATCAATGAGGTTCAAATAGAAGTCATCCCTTAGGTTTCCTGCATTCAGAGTCCTACACTCCTACATGCCCACTGCGTGCATAAAAACATTAATTCAATTCATGTCCTACCTGTAAGGATCGTATACTTCCGTCTCCGGCTCAGGTCTTTCTACACACTCTACTCACATACACCACACTAGGGGAAGCTTTAGCACAACTCTCTGTTTTTATCTCACCACTAAGTCCCTCTCTCAATACTCACACAAAGGGAAAGAGAAGAAGGAGAGCACTGCTCTCTGGAAGTGGTTCTCGCAGGCTGCTCTCACAAAGAAGGGGAAAGGGTTGACTTATAGTAGGCTGCCAGCCTATGGGCAAACAACAAGGACATTCACGGGATGGCCAAAGGACACTCACGGGTATAGCAAGCCAAGAGCAGGTACTGCAGCGGACAGTACAAGAGGCCAAAGCCAGGTAAGGAGTCAACAGGTATATTATTGATCAGGTAATATACCAAGATAAAAGGTACCAAAGTGGGAGTAAAACAATAGGGTGCAAGCCTCAGCAAATAAAGTAGAAGGGAGGCCTTGGTAGGACCAATACCTCCAACATTCTCCACCTTATTGGTCCTAGGTGGTGTAGAGTAACAATACAAAGTTGTGACAAGACTCATCATCGCCGGGTCACCCGGAATATCAACAGACACAACGGGCAAACACTTTATTAGGCAACCCACAGTTATCCACAGTCAAAGTTTAACACGCGTTTACAGGACAAGTGCTTCTCAGCAGAAAGACACTTGGTACCCATATCCGCGGGGTTAAACTCGGACGGGATCTTGCACAGCTTGACTCCACCTGCATCAACAATATCACGTATGAAATGGAACCTAACATCAATATGCTTAGTTCTATCATGAAATACAGGGTTTTTGCAAAGTTGGATAGCCGATTGGCTATCCGAGAAAATGGTAACTCCCTTTTTGAGAAACCCAATTTCGGAGACAAGGCGTTTGAGCCAGATGGCTTCCTTAAACGCTTCTGTGGCTGCAACATACTCGGACTCAGTGGTAGAAAGGGCCACAATAGGCTGTAGTTGAGACTTCCAACTAATGCAAGAGCCACACAAAGTAAAAACATAAGAAGTGGTCGACTTCCTGTTATCTCTATCATTTGCATAGTTAGAATCAACATAACCAATCAATTCAATACCACTAGCACATTTAGAGAAAATTAATCCATGCTTCACAGTAGAAATCAGATATCTAAGCAACCACTTAAGAGCATTCCAATGGGGCAAACCAGGGTTGGACATATATCTACTCAAGCAACTAACCACATATGCAATATCAGGTCTAGTGCTAACCATAAGATACATCACCGACCCTATTGCGCTGGAATAAGGCACAGATTTCATTTTCTCAATTTCAGGAGCAGTCTTGGGAGACTGGTCCTTACTTAACACAAAGTGAGATGCCATAGGGACATTAACAGGAGAAGCAGATAACATATTAAATTTACTCAAAACTTTTTCTATGTAAGAAATCTGATTCAAAGTAAGAGTACGCTTACTCCTATCCCTAACAATGTTTATGCCTAGGATCCTCTTGGCATCACCTAGGTCTTTCATGGCAAAATTCGCACAAAGACATTTCTGCACATCTTTAATAGCATTCAGAGAAGGACTAATTATCAGCATGTCATCCACATAGAGTAACAAAAATACAGGCACATAAGAAGTATTTTTGAAATACAGGCAATGATCACAGACAGATTTTTGGAACTTCAAAGATATCATGCATTTATCAAATTTGATGTTCCACTGCCTAGGGGATTGCTTCAGGCCATACAAAGCCTTCCTAAGCAAACAGACATGCTCACTTCTCTTGGGATCCACAAAGCCCTCAGGCTGGGTCATATAAATTGTTTTATCCTATTCACCATGCAAAAATGCAGTAGTTACATCCATTTGTTTCATTTCCCAGTCATGGTGAGCAACTAAAGCAAGCATCATACGAATAGTGGTGAATTTAACAACAGGAGCAAAGATTTCTGCATAATCTACCCCCTCTTTTTGAGTAAACCCCTTCGCAACCAACCTAGCCTTAAACCTAACATCACTAGGTTCTTCCTTAACCTTAAACAACCACTTACACTCAACTACCGAACAGTTGGGGGTCTAGGTACAAGGGTCCAAGTCTGGTTCACTCTCAAAGAGTCCATCTCACTTTTCATGGCACTAATCCATTTCTGAGACTCTTTGGAACCTAAGGCTTCACGGTAGGTCTTGGGTTCATTCAACTCTAGGGATTCAAACACAGAAAATGCAAACAGAGAAGTATCATGCACAATAAAAGCATAATCAGGCATACTATCAGCAGTTCTCTTGATAGCCCTTTTACTCCTATCTCTAGCAAGTTGATAATCATGCAAATTATCACTACTAGGCTCCTCATGCAACTCATGCAAATTATTGTTATCATGAAAATCAGATTCAGCATCCATATCATGCAAATCATGCTCAGTATCATGCAAATGCTCCACCTCACTCGAGGTGGTGGGACTATCATGCTCAGAGGAATCAGAATCATGCATAACAATATCATCAGTAATAACAGGATCAACAGATAAAGGACTAGCAGCAACAGGGACAGACTCCACCTCACTGGGAGTACTATCAGACCTAGACTCAGGATTAGAAGCAGACTCGGTCAAGCAAGGAAAATCAGTTTCATTAAACACCACATTTCTGCTAAGGACCACTTTAAAGCCTACCTGGTTCCTATCCCATAACCTGTAACCCTTTACCCCCTCTGGATAACCTAGGAAGACACATTTCTTAGACTTAGGATCCAACTTGTCACCCTGTTGATGTGCATACGCTGCACAACCAAACACCCGAAGGTTAGACAGATCAAGAGGCTTACCGGTAAAGACGGTTTCAGGACACTTACCACCAAGAGGGACAGACGGGGACCTATTAACCAAATAGGCAGCAGTAGTGACTGCTTCACCCCAGAATTTCTTAGACAAACCAGAGGTAGCTAACATGCTTCTAACCTTATCCAACAGAGACCTATTCATTCTCTCTGCTATCCCATTCTGTTGGGGAGTATAAGGCACAGTTTTGTGCCTTTTTATCCCACAATCCACACACAGCTTATCCATCTCCTTATTACAGAACTCTAACCCGTTATCGGTCCTAAGGGTTTTAACCTTCCTGCCAGTTTGGTTTTCAACTAGGGCTTTCCACTCCCTAAACCTCACAAACACATCAGACTTGTGTTCTAAAAGGCAAACCCACACCTTCCTAGAAAAGTCATCAATAATAGAAAGGAAATATTTCCTACCCCCGTGGGTAGGAACACTGGCAGGACCCCAAACATCGGCATGAATATATTCAAGCACAGACGAACACTTAGACAGATTAGGGTAAGAGGAAGGAGGGAAACTGACTCTATGCTGCTTGCCCAACACACATGATTCACAGAAAGGCACAGAAGTCACAGAGTCCTTACCAAAATAACCAGCCCTACGCATGACATCTAAACCCTTATTGCTCATATGTCCTAGCCTATTATGCCACAAAGAGGTCTTATCAGAACATACAACATTCACAGACTCAGCAAAAGGTTTAGCATGACACACATAAAGGTTATTCACCTTCTCAGCTTTAAACAAAACAAGCGAGTTTTTCAGGATTTTCATACAACCATTCCCCCATTTTCCCTGTAAACCACTACTCTCCAAAGCAGCAACAGATAACAAGTTATGACACAAATCAGGGACATGCCTCACATTCTTAATGGTAAACACAGAGCCACAAGAAAATTTCAGACATATATCACCAACACCAAGCACATTGCATCTCTTATTATCAGCTAAGGAAACGTAGCCACTATCACATAATTCATAAGTAGAAAACAAATCTCTAAAGAGGGACATGTGATAGGTACAACCAGAGTCAATCAACCATTCATGCTCAGACAGGGAATTTCTCACAGAATTAACATGGTCACAAACCATCAAAATATCACCAAGGTCACATTTATCAACAGCTACACTAGCATGCTCGGTCTTCTTAGGGTGGGGGCAATCCTTAATGAAATGGCCAGCGTTACCACAATTGTAACACACTCTCTTCCTAGATTTGCTCCTCTTCCTCCCAGGCTGACTAGCGTTCTTACCCTGACTATTTTGCTTAGGATTCTTAGACCTACCCTTAGATCTACCCCTAACAAACATAGCCTCACCGGAGTCCCTGGACTGACTAGCACTACCCCTAGCATGCTTCAGGTCAAGTTCCTTACTCCTTAACTCATTCACAACAATGTCTAACGAAATCTCATCCCTACCATACTTAATAGCGGACTTAACATCATTATAAGAGTCGGGAATGGCATTAAGTAATACTATGGGAGTGTAATCGTCTATGTGTTTATCACCTGCCTGTTTGATATTCTGTATCAGTTTATTAAACACATCCAGGTTCTCATCTATATCCTTAGTAAGGTCAAGCCTAAACCTAAAGAATTTCTCTAGTAAGAACAACTTCCCAGGTAAAGAGGTATCAGTATAGAGACTATCCAATTTCTCCCACAACTCCTTAGCAGACTCAAGAATACCCACTTTCCTAAGCACAGAATCAGACAGATTCAAGTAAATAGTAGAACAAGCAGTTTCGTTCATTTCAGTTTGCTTAGCCTTATCTTCTGATTCAAGGAAAATACCAGTGACAGCTCTGAAAACTTTTTGCTGTATTAAAACACACTTTATTTTCTGTTTCCAAATATCAAAATCTGTTTTTCCATTAAATGGAAGCATACCATACTGATTCGCAGCCATGGTATCAACCACAAAGGAACACAAAGCTAAACAGACAGAATTGACAGAAAATAATCCAACCCGGGTTATAAAATATTCACTTTAATAACCCCGGACAACATGCAACACATAGCAAAAAAATGGACATTTAGGCAATTAAACAATTCCGGGCAGAAAATTAAAAAATTAATTAATTCTACCCCTACCACCCAATAAACTACCCCTACGCATAACAAATAAATTAAATAACACTTAGTAATTTAATTAATTAGCTAAAACAATCAACCACAAAGGAGAGGGTTTAGTACGTACCTGGGGGGTTGGCGGCCGGGATTAAATCAACCGGCGGCCCGCGGGGAGGGGGAATAAAAATTAAATTAAATTAAAGCCGAAAAATTACAAATAGGAAGTTTAAAGA